CCAACTTGAGAGGTCTAGCCTGCTTGAAAGAAGGCTAGTGGGTAACGGTTGCTGTGAGGTTTCTGGTTTCTCGTGGCTTGCCTTTGGCCTTTGACAAGAAAAATCAGAGAGCGAGCAAATGACGTACATTTTGATTCTTGGTTTTGCAGTCATTTGCAGCCACTTGCAGCCACTTGCTCAGGCAGCCACTTGGCAGCCACTTGCAGCCACTTGTCACTCAAGCAAGTAAGTTTCAACACTGTACTTTGAGTTCTCTATGTAAAAACTGTAAGATTTCTTCGTCGCTAGCTCTGCAGAAGGTTAGAATGTATTCTCGGAAAAGTCTTGGATTATTTATATAATGATTTCTCCGCGCGCAGCTCGGGAGAAGACCGGAATTTCTTCGCAGAACAGCATTGCAGAAATCTTGGTGTTCTTCAGAACTGCACGCGGAGAAATCATGATATTCTCCGGACAGACGTAGCAGTCACTTGCAGCCACTTGGCAGCCACTTGCAAGTGGCTGCAAGTGGCTGCAAAATGGAAAATCAAAATGCGCACTTCCTGCGAGGTCAATGAGAAAACTGCTGGAACAAGGGCTGATGTGATGTGAGGACTGTTCAAGGCTGTTCAAACAAAACCCCGATGTGTCTCGCTGTCAATCTGTGGCTTTTCCAGAAACCTCGTGCCAGGATGCAAAGAAGCAATGGGTTGGCATGAGATTTCTGGCGGTCAACCTGTGGCCTTCAACAGAAACTGCCATGGAAAAAGCGTCAAAGGGTTGCTGTGAGGCTTCTAGTGGTCAACCTGTGGCCTTGCTGTTGCCTGCTTTGAAAGAATCAGCCACCAGAAGGTTGAAGTGGAAAGAGTTGCTGTGAAGCCTCTGGTGGCCAACCTCTGGTCTTTTACCCCTGGTCTTCTGCGGTGCCTCTCAAAGCCTGTTTTGCTTCTTCTGGTGGCTATCCTGGCCATCCTGCTGCTTATGGTGGCTGGCCTGGCCGAGGCTAAGGAAAAGAAAAAGAAACAATCGGAGGTGTTTTTTGAGAGGATGGAATGTTTACTGGGAGCGTCTGCCAGCTCCTGCACTAACACTGAGCACGGAGGGCGCGCGCAAAAAGCACGAACTGAGGCACCATTTTTGCACGGAGGGCGCGGCCAGTTTTGACAATTTCTTAGTGGCCAGTGCGCGGACTGGATAGACTGGAGTTGGCTGGGGCAGCAGAGGTGCTCGAAGGCTGCGCGCAAAAAACACGATCTCCAGCCCCGGCGCGCAAACAGCGAAGTTGCCAAGATGGAGGCTGCACTGCGCGACAAAATTTCTGGGAACAGCAAAGGTAGCAAGATTTACTGCGCCAAAACTTTTTCTGGGAGCAGCAACGATTGCAAGATTCAGTTTTTACTGTGTGAAAAAGCTTCTGGGAACAGCAAAGGTAGCAAGATTGACTGTGCGAAAAAACCTTCTGGGAGCAGCAAAGATTGCAAGATTCAGTCTTCACTTCACTGTGTCAAAAAGCTTCTGGGAACAGCAAAGCTAGCAAGATTTGCTGTGCTAAAAAATTTTCTGGGAGCGGCAAAGGTTGCAAGATTCAGCCTTTACTGTGTGAAAAAGTTTCTGGGAACAGCAAAGGTAGCAAGATTGACTGCGCCAAAGCTTTTTCTGGGAGCAGCAAAGATTGCAAGCTTCAGTCTTTACTGTGCGAAAAAAGCTTCTGGGAACAGCAAAGCTAGCAAGATTGACTGTGCCAAAAAATTTCGTGGAGCGGCAAAGGTTGCAAGATTCAGTCTTCACTTCACTGTGTGGAAAAGCTTCTGGGAACAGCAAAGGTAGCAAGATTGACTGCGCCAAAACTTCTGGGAACAACAAAGTTAGCAAAGTTCTGCTTTTGCTGCTCCACAAAAATTCTGAAGGCGGCAAAGATGGCCTTTGCAGCCTTTATCATGTCAAACCCCTGGTCAAATACTTTCAAGATTCAAACTTTACTGCTCCGCAAAATTCTGAGGGCAGCCTCGATAGCCTTTGCAGCCTTTATCACGGCAACCCCCTGGCTAAATACTTGCACAGGAAGAGCAAAAAACATAGAAATTTTTTGCTACTAAACAACAGCATGCAGGACCCTAAGCATGCATGAGCCTCACACACGCAGCTCAGGCGCGAAAGCAGGCGTCACACCATTGGCAATTGGAAGGAGCCCAGTCTTTCCATAGTGTTTGGGCCAGTTCAAAGCCACCAGAAAACGGATGCTTCTGACGCGGCTGTGAGGCACACATACAACACAACCGGTGACAGTTGCAACAAATTTCTGACTGTGCGCCCTGCATTTTCAAGCTGCGCGCAACGCCACTCATAGTGTTGCTACATACTCCATACCATACGCCGTCTCGAATTATTTTAGAATCGAAATTAGTTCCGCTAGTCATCGTGTAGCGCTCTTAGGCAGTTGTACTCGCAGTCATTCAGTCATCATCCCGCAACTTCCGCGCGCGGAACCCGCGCGAGTGTGGCGCGCGGGTTCCGCGTGGTTTCTGCGCTAGTAGTATAGTATATAGTCGTATAGTAACAACGGTAGCAGTTGGCAGTTGTTGTAGATAGCCGGTGTTGGTGAGTAGTAGTAGTAGTAGTATTGGTATTGGTAGTAGTAGTAGTAGCAGAAGAAGTAGTAGTAGTAGAAGTAGTAGTAGTAGTAGTGGTCGTAGTAGTAGTAGCAGTAGCAGTAGCAGCAGCAGCAGCAGTAGCAGCAGCAGCAGCAGTAGTAGTAGTGGTAGTAATAGTAGTAGTAGTGGTAGTAGTAGTAGTAGTAGCGGTAGCAGTAGCAGTAGCAGCAGCAGTAGCAGTAGCAGCAGCAGCAGCAGTAGTAGTAGAAGCAGTAGCAGTAGCAGTGGTAGTAGTAGTAGCAGCAGCAGCAGGAGTAGTAGTAGTAGTAGTGGTGGTGGTGGTGGTGGTGGTAGTAGTCGTAGTAGTAGTAGTAGTAGTAGCAGTAGCAGTAGCAGTAGCAGCAGCAGCAGGAGGAGTAGGAGTAGGAGTAGGAGTAGGAGTAGGAGTAGGAGTAGGAGTAGGAGTAGGAGTAG